GAAGTTGTTGGAGGCAATGCTTTGTTTCCTTACTGCGTGGTTCATTACCACCTGTCGCTCACACTCGTCTACGATTATCCAGCTTGACAGATAGGTCTTTGTCTTCTGCGTAACTGTGTTCTCTGTTTCTTCCATGTAATATTTCCCGCAGTTACGCTGCAGTTTGTAAACCCGGCCTAGAGAGTTATTATTCTCAAAATTGTTTAATGGCACATTGAGTTTATTAGAGCTTTTATATATAACATTTATATTATATTTAGTTTTAAGTAATCTTTGTGACTTTTCACTAAAGTTTTTATGATACGGTAGAGGAGAGTAAGGTTTACTATTAGCTCTATTAGTGTCACAAATTGATTTAAGATATCTTATTTTACGGTTTGTAATGTTACTAACGATAATTACTAAAATTGATTCGATACGCTTTATTTTGTCTTTAAGAAATTCATTACTACAAGATTTCAGGGCTCTGTCTATTAAAGCTGTAACCACAGAACGTTTAGTTTTTAAATCATCATTATGTGATTGAAAATTTAGATATTTGTCATAAGTAGTAGGTTTACGATAACTTTAGTTTTATGGCATTTACCGGAGTTAATTATTAAAGCATCAAGAAATGATGGACTGCAGTTGTTTTCTCTTTCAATGGTTAACTCAGTGATCAGTCTCTTTCAATAGTTAACTCAATATTTTGAAAGAATAGGCTATTGAGGAGGTCTAGTAACTTGATTTTGTCATCACGCGGACAGCTGACAGCGTGTCGTTTGAAAACCTTGGAATAAGGTCAGGATTCGTGTCTGGGAGCACATTTTCAAAGTGCTTTATGACAATTTCAGCAAGGATGGATGAAAGTGGGTTACCCATGGGTGCTTCTTTAATATGTTTGAAAAATCTACCGTGGAAGGCGAGATAATTCGCCTCTACCATACAGACAGTTATTAACTTTACGATTGAGCAGACAGAGAGGTTAGTGCGTTGTGTAAGTGAATTATCTCCTTGAAAAAGTTTACCAATTATTTCATTAGTAAGGTTAACAGGTATGCTAGTAAACTAGTTTTTAGCGTCATAGCAATCATGATGCTACTTCCTTATCGCTTAATCTGTTTCAGTTCGGTACAAGTAAACCGTTTGTTACGCTATTTCTTCAGTATGTCCGCCAACGCACAAACGAATTGCTCTACTGTCGGATATTAGTCAACCTTTCTATATTTTGTTGAGCTGCTCGATTACCAATTTTAGCACCAGGAAGAAACTCTCGGCCTAAGATATTTCTTTTCCTGATGTGCTGGTCCCAGATGTTTGGCCTGTTTCTAAGAATATGCTAAAAATGTAACTACGTGAATCTACTGAAGGATGCAGTGGCATTGGTTCAGAATCGTCGCGATGGCAGAATTTTAACTCAAATGACTATACTTCAGTTCAGTCGCGAGCTTGGTCTCAGTACTCGAAAAGCACAATCAGATGTTTGAATTTGTGTTAAAATTACATTCATTTTATTGTTTTAGAAATGTTTTTGTGTCAATTCAGAAAAAAATTATATTACCTGACATCCTCTTAAACTGAAAAATTGCACTAACTTAAAGAATTATTTTGTGCATGATGGAGTCCGCACACCCCAGTCTGCAAAGCAACCGTAGATTGCCTGCTGAAAACATATTTTCGAGGGCATTACCTCGTATAAACCGATTTAACTGAAGTACCACTGTCTGGAACATAGGCGTACATCATTCGTCGCAGATTGACTACGCAAGTAGAATGTTCTCCTTGCATTGATTTTGCATTGTTGATCCGTGAGCAGTTTCTCCTCAAAGTAATATCGATTGACTAATCAATAATGTCAGAGAAATTGCGAATTTATCGCGCTTAGTCAAACCTTTCTAGCGGAGCGGTGAATTGGAAAGAGGTTGAGAAACTTTTAAGTCCGGCTTGGCATGGTTCCAGCTGTCATTCTGCAAGAGATGGTGAGATCTGGTTGCATCACTCAGTAAAGAACTACTTCATGCTTAAGTATTAAATTAGTTAATTATATATCTCCACTTTCTTCACGCCCTTTCACAACCGATTTATAGACCATATCTTCAAGCCGCCAACTAGCGCCAATGAGAATTCATCATACACGCAGGAGCAACCTCAAAAATCCAATTCCATACCATTTTTCACATAGCCATGTGTAGTTTACTAGGTCGAAATGGGTAGTCGTTGCGGATCTTACCATGGAATCGATAATAAACCACTTGAACCCTTTAGAAGACACCCCGAAATTGTGCAATTACTGAATTTTGCTTTTTGGCTTTGCACTTTATGCTGATTATTAGACGCGATAGTCATCCATCATGTGGGTCAAGACGAACTGCAGTCCTAAGAAGCATTTCACATCAGGTAATATGGCATAACCGAAGGGCGAGATAGATCAAGGTTTCTTGCAGCCACGTGAGATGCTGTGACTGAAAAGTAGAATCTGAGACTTCCAGCTTCCGGAAGTCAGAGGTCAGCAATCATTTGACCGCTGTTGGTCGACTATGTCGTCATAATCGAAGTAACAACAATTTGCTTCGATTGGAGATCTTTGAGCATTTGTTTACCAAAACTTCGCGGCAATTTCAGATGGCACTCTGCTTATTGAGGCGCTGAGTAGCGTTAAACAGATAATAGTGTGCGGATTTTGTCAAAAATAAAATATTTGGGGCTGTTTAACATTTGACGTATTTCAGAAAGTGAAATGCACAAAGATTCTGGCGTGTGGTCACACATTCTGCGTCAGATGCCTGTCTTTCATATCCGAAAAGGACTTTGATGATTTACTGCAAATAAAGTGTCCGATCTGTCGGGAAGAATCGCATTCGATCTCTTCAATTCAAAGCCTGCCAAGTCGATTTTACGGCCGAATAAAGTGCGACAAATGCCTTCAGTGCAAGAAGTCCAACGACACGTGGTGGTGCCCGAGCTGTGTTCAGGCCATGTGCAGCAAATGCAGACTTACCGAACATTCAGATAGTCATCATTCGGTTGCAGAGTGGAACAACCTGGCTCCAGCGGAGTGCTCATTAGCATACGTAAATGAGGTGAGAGTTTCGTTAAATCAATACGCAAAAAGGTTAGCACCGCGCATTAGCGAGGTATCGTGCAGCCACCTAGGGTTAATTATGCTTACGGCCCTCTGTGACTCTGTTAACTTGGATACGCTACCGCATACAACGCGATAAGTTTCATCAAGACGTGTGATTGCATTGGCAAGCGTTGTGAACAGGCTCGCTGCTCTAATTTTCAAGAATCTTTCTGAGCAGTAACAGCACAGCCTATGTTGGTTTTGTGGCAGAAACGACGACGGAAATGTTTGCAGTCCAATTACTCCGACAACTACGGATTCGAGATAAAATACGCTACTTCCACCCTTCCTGATTTCCAAAAATTATTTATTAACTCAATTAATCCACTACGATTTATACATAAATTAGAAAACAATCGCTGCGAGAAAACATGAAAATTTTGTGTTTTAGTCGAATACTTGCAGCCGTTGATGGATTATTGACCGTAATGAGTGAGCGCCGTCGGAACTATGGATGACTGAGGTTTTCTACTGGTTGAAATTTGTAAAGCTTCAGGTTCATTTAATGGCGATATATACATGACACTGATTCTAGAGCCACTGCTATCATGTCAGTATTGAATTGTACGTTAGATGTTACCATTCGCTGCAACAGACAGAAGAAAACGTGCTTCCATTATGCCTTAATACAATTCTTTTCTGCTAGGGCTTTCATCGCTTCTATTTTGTGGCTACAAAATATTTTGATAGAAGTAATTGTTTTGATGGCCATCTCTAGAGTATCAGCATATTTGTCCATTACATAGGCTGTTAGATTCATTATTTGCGCGAGCTTAGGTTCAGTATTGCAAGTTTAAGCCTATTTAATTGAGAAATTAGTGAAAGAAGTAGCAGAAAGTTGTTAACTCTTCAAGTGGTAAAACACTAGAATGTGAAAGGCAAAGGCAAATAGCAAGTTTAGCTTTAAACTGTAAAATCGAAACTGCTCATTCAGATTGTGCCGATTTTATCACCCACGTGACGCTATCATCTGAAGGTAGTTTGGTCTGTCGATCGCGAAGGAAACGATCAGCTTCATAACCTAGTCACGACGTTCTGCCGAAAAGTATTGGGCTGTAAGGTTGAAAATATCTTATTTATAAGATATATCCGACTACCAGTTTGACACAATATTCTCTAGCGTCAGAGATTCATCAACCTTAGGAGCCCATTTCGGCTGATTAACTGTTAAAATGTATTGTCATTATCCTTTATTGTGGCTAACTATTATTTTCAGGGACAGTCACTATGAGTGAATAAGTAAAGGAGTGGTCTGTTCCAAAGTTTGACGTCATGATTTATCATAGTTATTTCAAAGCCTGAGCGAATGGTGCCCCTCTTTCTAGTCTTTCAGCCCGGCTCGTAATTAGAGTGGTTTGCTCCTTTTCAAATTTGCTTTGAAAGTTAAAGGCATAGAAAGAATGCAGTTTCTGTGGTGTTTTCCCTGTTACGCGATCATTTCAAGGCTCGTTACAGATTTTGAGGCTTACCATTCTTTTTCCATACACTTCTGTCCGGTTGTTTTTCCAATTGACACTATGCAAAAAGACACAAGACGACGGTGAGCAAATGACATTTCGAACAACAAAAGACAAGTAAACAGCTACATATGGTTAGAACAGTATGTGGAAACGGACATAACAATCGGACAAAAAAGAACACCAACATATGAGCTAAACAACTGTGGGTGAATAAGAACGTGTTAAGTGTTCGCGCGAATTTAAATTTGTTCGCGCTTACTGCCATCTGTGATAACGTATTGAGGGTATTGCATTAAAATGTATAATGACAGATAAAAATCCGCTTATTTCGAAAGTATTGCTTGTGACGAAGCTCCACATCAAAGATCCGCAAATTAGACATACCCTTGCTTGCAAGCCCATCACCACAACAAAGGCATTATCAAGGCTTAGTAATGTGATCAGTATCTGTTAATCCAAACCAGTCATGTCCAGTTCCAGGTCCGGCTGAGAAAGACGAGTTGACGTCAGACAGGCAACCGGCCGTAAAAACCAATGCCAAAGCCGAACATGACGAGTCAACTTACCTCTAGAAAGAATCCTAGGACGTTCCCCACAGGCGACACGCAGCAGCAAATCACGGCAGCTGTGAGAAATGAGGAAGAGTACCAGTTGTTGCGAAGATGGCAACCGCAAAGGGAGAGACTGATATGCCGAAAACGAAGTGAGAAAATGCGAATAGCTAATTGGAACATTGTAACATTAAAGGTAAAGTCCATGGAGCTGGTAGAAGTTCTTTAGAGAAGAAAACTTCAGATCGCTTGTATTTAGGAGATGAAACGGAAAAGTTAGAAGTTGAAAGAGATTTGGCTAGGCCATAAACTTATTTACTAATGAACATCAAGCAGAAGAAATGGAGTTGGAGTGATATTGAGTGAAGCGACCAAAAATAGGGTACTCGAAGTCAGCCGAATTAATGACACAGTCATTAGCTTATAGCTGAGTTTGAAAATTAATATTATGAGTGCCTGCGCCCCTCGGGCAAACCAAATCGAAGCTGAAAAGTCGACATTATGGAAAGGTCTAGACATTACACTGCAAAACATACCTCTAAACAAAAATACGTTAATCGGGGGTAACCTCAACGGGCACGTCGGGAAATATCGAAAGGGTTACGACAGAATCCATGGCA